CGTAGCAAAGGTATTTATAAATGTATCTTAGATTACATGTTTTGATTATTATGGCTTGTTGTCCAACTGTAAACTGTTTGAAATGTGCATCTTTTTAGCTTAAAACAAGAGAGAACGCTATAGTCGGGTGCCCCGACTATCAGATACCCGTTACTCAGCTAAAGGGAGTGCGAAGGAGATGGAGAAAAACTTTGATCCGCCGTAACTTTTTAACGAATGGTCCGATTTAAAAAATTTCTTCTACATTTCGATAGGTATTGGTAAACACAATAAAACTGCATTTTTACTTTTCCAAAATATTGAAATTTTTAAAATCGTATACAAGCGATTGTGGGCGTTAGAGGGGGCGTGGCACCCTTTTGAAACAAACTTGCGCTGCGTAGGAACTCCTATAATCTGCATGCAAAATGTCAATCTTCTAGCTTTTATAGTTTCCGAGATCTCAGCGTTCATACAGACAGACAGACAGACAGACAGACGGACAGACAGACGGACAGACGGACATGGCTAGATCGACTCGGCTAGTGATCCTGATCAAGAATATATATACTTTATGGGGTCGGAAACGCTTCCTTCTAGCTGTTACATACTTTTGCACGAATCTAATATACCCTTTTACTCTACGAGTAACGGGTATAACTAACAAGTTTGATTGTGCTCCGTGGTGTACAACTTATAAATGGCACAAAGTTGCAAAAAGGTAAAAACGCAAAGTTATTACCAAATGTATCCTTAATATCGCAAAACTAATAATTTTTGCAACTTTTTGCACGTTTCTTCAAAAAAATGACTTAAATACAGCAACTTATAAACATAAATAAAAATATTTTTTAAATAAAAAAACAATCTAAGTGGCTTTCATTAATCTTAAAAATTGAATTTATGGAAAGGGACAAGTCAAGTGAAAATCCTGGCTGCAAAGGGCTCAAATATAAAGAAGCTGGACCCCAATTAAAGCTAAAATTGGCATCTGCTATTGGATAATATTTCACTTTTCTTGTACATGTCAGCAATTTTTTTTTTGACAAATTTTAAAAATTAACGTAGGCCGAAATTATTTTACCGGCGTGTATTTTTAACGATGCCATTTATGCCAGCATTTTTGCATTTTTTCTCACTTTTACAACTTTGACGAAGTGTACCTTCTAAACTAATGAATGGAACTCAATGCAGTGTATAAGTTGGAGGGCATTCTATTACCTGTAAAATGAGTCATTTATGGTTGAAATCGGTTAACCACAACTCAAGTTAGAAATTAAAAAAGGGTCAAAAACGTTTTTTACACTTAAAAAAAATGTATCCATAAAAAAAATTTTAAGAGCCATTTTCTTAATCAGGAAAACGAACCTTACCAGAAAACAAAGGTTTCATTCATGGTATATTTCATCGATTTTTTTTTGTAAACTGGTGTAATTGTAAATTGTAGTAAATTGTAATTTTTCTCAAAACTTATCCACTAAAAAAATGGTTTTTATTCCCTTGCAGAGGGTATTATGATTTTAGTCAGAAGTTTGCAACCCAGTGAAGGAGACGTTTCCGACACCATAAAGTATATATATTCTTGATCAGCATCACAAGACGAGTCGATCTAGCAGCTAGAGAATCCGTCTGTCCGTCTGTCTGTTTCTACGCAAACTAGTCTCTCAGTTTTTAAGCTTTCGCAAAAGTCCTCTTTCCATTGCAGGTAGTATATATGTCGGAACCGACCGGATCGGACAACTATATCTTATAGCTCCCATAGGAAGGATCGGAAAAAAAAACTTTAAAAAATTCTAGCTTTGGTGTTTTTTGAAATATTAACTTCTACTTTTAAGGATGTTATTTTTTAAATATTTCTGAATTTCGAATTAATTACACTATGCAGCATCAAAAATTAACCTCGATGAATGCTATATTTTTGGATTCGTTACGAATTCCCAAATTAAACTGCGTTTTCCAAAGAGTTCCCCGACGCAAGGATTCTTAGCAAAAGGACCTCAAAGTTCGAAAAATGCTGAGATTGACCACCTTTGCGGAGCTCTCAGAGGCAAATGGATGCATGGCTTGGTTCGAAGTTAAAGTTTTTTAAAAGATACATCCTTTATCTTTCAAACCCCATACATAAAATAATTTTAGGATTTTTTTTAAGGCAGAAATAAATTTCAAAAAACATAGTCAAAAAACTGAAAAACATACAGCTGCGGTCAAAATAGTAGCAGTGTTGCCGGCTTGTGTTTCTATAAGTTTGATGTTGTAATTTTTTCTTATCCAATTAGTCAATAGTAAAATTATAATCTATACAATATTACCAGGAAAAGATCAATTACAACAACAGACTTTTAAATACACAGGGCGGCAACACTACTACCATTTTGACCGCTGCTGTATACTTTTATGTTTTTTGACTATGTTTTCTAGAATTTGTTTCTGCCTTAAAAAAAATCTTAAACATTTTTTAAGTATGGGGTTTAAAAGATAAAGGGTGTATCTTTTAAAAAACTTTAACATCGAATCAAACCATGCATCCATTTGCCTCTGAGAGCTCCGCAAAGTTGGCCAATTTCAGCATTTTTCGAACTTTGAGGTCCTTTTGCTAAGAATCCTTGCGTCGGGGAACTTTTTTGAAAACGCAGTTTAACTTGGGAATTCGTAACGAATCCAAAAATATAGCATCCATCGAGGTAAATTTAAAAAGCACTAAAAATGCTGCACAGTGTTATTTAAAAAATCGGACTACTATATCATATAGCTGCCATAGGAACGATCGGAAAATTAATGGAAAAGTAATAGGAAATAAATTCTAGCTTCTTTGGTTTTTATTGTATTATCTTCTACTCTAGAATATGACTCTTTTTAAATATTTCCGAATTTCCATTTTAATTTAATCAAAATCGGACGACTATATCATATAGCTGCCATAGGAACGATCGGAAAGTTAATGAGAAATATTAGAAAATTGAACATTTTTGCGATTTGTTAATTAATAGGAATGATCTGCAAGGGTATATAAGCTTCGGCTGGCCGAAGCTAGCTTCCTTTCTTGTTATTTTTTTTTTAGTCCTTTTTAGTGACAACATTTTTGGGGAAAACATTATAAGCCAGGCTCTAGCCAGATTTAAGCTGTGAGAGTCGTGTACCATTTTTCACCAAAAAAGTTTTTGTCTACTTTTTTCAAAATTCCATTTAAAATTAATAACGTCCTTAAATTTACTTGGTAAGAGATTTAAAACATTGGTATATTAACAGTTAACCAATTAAAAAGAGAATCAGCTTAATGTGACAGTCAGAAAAAAAGTTATTAATTTTTTCCCGAAACATCCCATTTGGAGATACCCGTTTTTCATACAAAAAGGCCTTGGGCCAACAGAGGTCGCTTTCTGCCTAATACACTTCTTTGATATTAAGGGAAAGGTGAATGTTTAAAGAGCGTTTTTATTTTAATTGTTATTTGGTCTAAGTTCTTAAAAAATGGATGGGAAATAATTTAGGACGAACTAAAATTGATTAAATTAACATAAATAAAAAGTTCCTTATAGTTTGGAGTACTTTTTGTGTGAGTATTATTGACTTTTAAAAGTGTCTCAACTTACAGACCTCTTTTTCAAAATGTTGTTGTTTTGCAAATTAAAAAAAAAATAATTTTTCAGTGTTCCCTAAGGAAAAAAAATAATTTTTTGTTTTTTATTAAGCTAATAGAATAACCTTTCGATCAGTACCAAATGCGTAAAGTTTCATAAGTGAATGTCGAAATGGCAGATTAAAAACAAAAGGTGTACCAACCTACAGACCTCTCCCCTATATTAGCTTCGGCTGGCCGAAACTTGTTCCTTTCTTGTTTGAAAGGAAATTATACATTTTTCAATCATAAAAGAAACTACTTTTAAAACTAGAATAGCCTTCCTTGTTTTAAAAAATATGTGTTTTTTGTTCGAAATTTGGTTTCTAAAAACTCATTTCTTGTTTTAAAAAATTGTATTTCTTGAAAAATTAGGATGAAAACTTTAAAAGCAAGAATAGCATTTCTTGTTTAAAGAAATATTTTTTTTAGTTTTAAAGGTGCCTTTCTAAAAAGTCATGTCTTGTGTTAAGAAATTAAATTTCTTGATTCAAGAAACACTTTTTCTTCGTTTTAATGCGCCTTTCTAAAGAATCATTTCTTAAAACACAGGTGAGGTCTCGTCGCCAAAACTAAATAAAAAATGTTATAGATTTTAGGGTAATTCTCAGATTTAATTTTATGAGTTCTTGGCTTGCATCTCAACCATTTCATTAAACAGCTGTTGTGTTAACAAAGATGCCCTCTATCGGAATTCCTGAAACTTAACATTAAAGATTGGTCTTCTGCGAATGCATCCTGAAACAACATTTTTTGATTTAACGGCTTTTTAAATTTGTGTTTTGAGCAACCAAAGTGGTCAAATGCCCAATAGTGAAATGTACTCAAAGTAAAGTGTGACTTTATATTTTTATAAGAAGCAAAAGACTTACAAGTTATAACTTAAAGCCGAGTTTGCTTCAGCAAAGAGTTTATTTCGGTATTTTGTTTTCATCTAACATTTTTCAAATCTGACCACTAATTAAAATATTGTGCAATCTTAAAAACAGCCGCTTTGCTGATTGCATATCTCCCTCGCACTCCCTTTAGCTGAGTTTCTGATATTGGAGGCACTCGACTACAGAGCTCTCTCATATTTTTTTCTGAGTATATTGAATATTCCCATGTGCAGATAGGTAAAAATTTGATTCCTCAAATCCTTACTTTTAATTAAGTACAATAACTTATCTTGCGTTCTTATGTTATGCAGTTTATTGTTCTTTGTAAATAGTTTCCGATGGTTTACACAAAATCGTGCGAATTCTTGCTAGACAATCTGAAACAATAGTAACAGGTATTGAGCAGCACAGCTGCAGACCAAGAAGGCGTGATAGCCTTAGTTCGTTGATAAGGCTTATCTGTGTTATTGACACCGATTGAAGCGAGAACTAATGCGCTTCTTAACCAGTTTACTTCCACTCGCCGTCGTGGTAAAATGGTTGGACATTCCAATTTCCTAGCCCTCCACATTGTGGCTTTGGTTGCCGGAGCCCATGCGGCTAACATTCTGGGTTTATTTGCCAGCCTGAGTCCTTCGCATTTAGTAATTCAGATGTCGATGGCCCGCATTCTGGCAGAGAGAGGACACAACGTCACTGTTGTGACTGTCTTAAAACCTCCGTTGCTACACAAGGATATTACACATATCCTTGTGCCACTAGAAGAGCATGACCTTCAAGCCTTCAGTTCTGTTGTTGCCGGCTTAACTAAAACGGACAACAGCAACGCCTACACATCTATGTTTCGAACGGTGCGACAAATGAGCGAGGCGTTCTCCAAAATGGGAAGCGTAATGAAGCATGATGTGGTCAGAAATCTCTATGAGCACTCGGACAACCGGTTCGATCTGGTCATCGTGGGCTACTTCATGAACAGTTTCCAACTAGCCTTAGCCCATAAACTAAAGGTTCCTCTAGTGGTTGCCCTCTCAAACCCACCTTCGTTCTTGGGCGACATTCTGGGAAACCCCTATGAAGTCTCATACGTGCCAGCAATGCATTTGACTACCGAACATGGCAATCCCATGAGCTTTGGAAAGCGCCTGATCAACCTTTTGGGAAGCTTGGGACAGCGGTTGTTCATGTTTGTTATTGAGTATCGAAATGCAAGGACGTACAGGTTGGTATTAATATTGTTAGTTTTAGCGCCCACTTCACCGAAATTTTATAGGGACATCTATGGAGACGATCCTACTCTGCCCAGCTACGGGGACTTGAACAAAAACATTTCACTAGTCTTTTTCGCATCTCACGGCATAAGCGAGGGACCTATTAGGCCCAACGTGCCGGCTGTAATCGAGGTCGGAGGAATACAAGTCAAGGATGAACCAGATACTCTTCCCCAAAATATGGAAGAATTCCTAAAAGATGCTCCACACGGAGCTATACTTCTCAGCTTAGGATCAAATCTTAAAAAAGATCACCTTAAGTCCGACACGGTGCAGAAAATGTTTAATGTCGTCTCAAAGCTGAAGCAAAAGGTGATATGGAAGTGGGATGACCTGGAAAACACACCGGGAAAGTCGGAAAACACACTCTACTCAAAGTGGGTGCCCCAGGACGACATCCTAGCACATCCGAACATCACGCTGTTCATTACCCACGCGGGAAAGGGAGGGGTAACCGAGGCGCAGTACCACGGTAAGCCCATGCTGGCCTTACCCGTTTTCGGAGACCAGCCCTCTAATGCCGATATTATGGTAAAACAGGGTTTCGGTTTGAAGCAAAGTCTCCTCACCCTGGAAGAAGACAGCTTCCTTCGAGGCATTCAGGAGGTACTAAAGAATCCGAAGTATTCCGAAGCAGTAAAGTCGTTCTCCACTCTCTATCGTGATCGTCCGATAAGTGCACGACAGACGCTTATCTACTGGATGGAATATGTGATCCGCTACCGTGGAGCCCCGCACCTTCAGAGTCCCCTGGTGCACATGAACTACATAGAAGCCAATAACCTTGATGTTTACGCCTTAGTTCTGGGAGTTACTGCTGCCATCTGCTCCATCATTCACTTCGTGTTTCGTTTAATTTTTAAAAGACTTAATGCTCTTTAAGAAAATCGCCATTCATGGCACAAAGTAAATTAAAAAAGAATCAAAGCTAAATTCCGTATTCAATAACACCAGCATACTAAGACGACCTTGGCTTTTCGGTAAAGTTTAAGTCCCTGATTAAAAAACACACTGATTTGCATTTTAAATGCACATTTCTTAATAAGGGTGTTCAAGTTTACGGGATAACCAATGATAACTTTGTATCATTCTGACGATTTTATTTTGTAAACTGGTGTAGTTCTAGTTTTTGTTTTGTAAAATGACAAATGAAGAAAAAACTGTTGTTCATGATTATTACTTATTGGTTACTACCAGGAACTGAAAATAATGATTACACCAGTTTAAAAAAAAACAAGAGGGAACGCGTGAAACGTGACAGGCCAATTTGGGTCAAATCTCAGAATCAATCGAAACTTTTTTTTCGATAGAGGATTAAAATATAAGGATTGGTTTTTATACCCTTGCAAAGGGTGTTATAATTTCAGTCAGATGTTTGCAACGCAGTGAAGGAGACGTTTCCGGCCACATAAAGTATACATATTCTTGATCAGCACCAATAGCCGAGTATATCTAGGCATGTCCGTCTGTCCGTTTCTATGCGAACTAGTCTCTCAGTTTTAAAGCTATCGCGATGAAACCGAAAGTCTTCTTTCTATTGCAGGTAGTACATATGTCGGAGCGAGCCGGATCGGACCCTACACCTCTCTTAAGCATTTATCGAGGTAATTAAGTAAACATTTTATTTTGTAACACTGTGTAGCCAAAGTAAGTGGCTTATCCCTCATTGCTCTGATTAGACTCCATATTTTTAGATTACCAAGCGAATAAAATGCAAATGCAAGCTTTGCCTGCTGTTGAAGGATGCCGCACAGGGTAGAGAACTATCCAAAATGTAATAAAGAATACGCTGCTCCACCAAATGTCAAATATTTGATTAGCCCCATTAGAACCACCCCTTAAGCAGCCCTTAGAGGTCCCAGTGTATCCCACCAAATGACCCACATGCGAGCGAAAGGGTTGCTCGTTCCATGAAATAATTCATTATAATTCTCGCTCATTAACCCATGTGCGCCATTCGTGCCACAACTTTGCCTTTCGGTTTTTGGCCAGGACTAACAAAAGGAGAAAAACACTTTTCATAATTAAGCATTGTAATTTTTGTTTGTTTCGCTTGCTGGGGGTCTGCGCTCCAGAATTCCTTGGACCGCTTCCAAAACTTTTTTCCCTTTTCAGTAAGCCCAAAATATGGGTTTCTGTTGATGGACATATGATTGCCTTTGAATTGCGGCTGACCCCTTTCATTCTCTACTCATATTTCATTAACCGGACTGAAACCGGTATGGAAAGGGGATTAACGATCGATTGACATTGCCTATGCTTAATGCTTAATTAAATTTAGCCACTTAAAGCTTTGAAGTATGGGTGCGAATGTTGAGGAATTTTCAATTAGTGCAACCGAAAAATGCCTGACAGTGGAATTTTCATAATTATGCAAAGCTGGCAGGAAGTTTTCGAATTTACATTAATTTTGTAGTAAATGTAATTAGAAAATAAACTTTTCGCCTGGCTCATGTCATAGTGGAAAGTGGCACCATCAGAGAACTCCTTTCCTGGCACTGCAGAACAATGTCATTAAGAGGTAGCTACTATACACAAATGTAATACCAAAATGTCTATAATTTTTATGTACATGGCAACCAAAATCCCTGACCCCCTTCTTACCACAAAGAACTGCTCTTGCTCCTGCAGTTTTCTGAGCATTAGTTATTACTACCAACTATAATTTAAAATAAATGCCAAAGTAGCCGAGGTCTAAACCGCCGAACCTCGAGCCTCCCAGCACAGAGCTAACTATTAAGCCCACCCCAAACAGGCTTCCAGGAACAAGCTTCTACTTCTTCGTTCTCTCCCACTGCTGTTGCTTTTGGCTTTATAATAAATTTATAAATGAAAATATGAAAAATGGTCGCTGCGTGTTTTTGCTAAACTAAGCTGGAAAAAACAAGGAGAGAAACTCCAAAAAATGCTCTTTAAGAGCAGAGAAAGCTAAAAAAGCAAAAAGGAATAAGAAAAGTGGGTTAGCTAGGGTTGCAATCGGGCTTGTGGATAGGTCATCAGTGTGCCGTATCCGATTCTTAAAGTTTTCTTAAGGGGGGTTCTCATGTAACATGTCAAAAAGTAGTTGTTTTTTGCGAATTTTTTTCACTTGGAAAATGAAAACTTACACGAATAATTTTTTGCATCTTTTTGAACACATGTTTAAAGTATTAGAAAAATGTTTTAAAATTCTAAAAAAAACCTTATTCAAGGTTGCGTGTGGCGCGACGCGGCTGACGGATTTATTGCGGTACAGTGTGGAGCCCAAAGTTTTCATCTGAAACGTACAAAAAACATTTTTTATTATTCAGCAGGGTTCCCCCTAGTGCATGAATGTCTGCAACTTCAAAAAATTCGATTTAAAAATATTGAAATCACGTCTTTAAAAAAAGTTCAATTTTTTCGTCTTTTTTTGTTGCTAAATTGGGCTGAAAAGTGTATAAAATAATTTTTTTTTTACAATTTCAGATAATTATGCACTCGTTCAATGTATAATCTGCAAAACACTTTTTAGAAATCAAAAATCGGTTCAGTAGTTTTTTGTAATCGTGTACCGCGTTTTATATTATTATTATTATTATTAAGTGTTCGACTATAATGTAAAATTTACAGGCGAACTTAAGTTTAGCTATAGCTACGGGGCCTTAAGCTAAAAAAAATTCAATTTTTTCTTTTTCATTCTTTACAAATTTACGAGCTAATGTACCGCGTTTTTAAAATCATAGTTTTGAGAAAAAACGATTTAAAGTTTTTAAATCGCACTCAAAGCGCGCCCGAGCATATTTTCCATCACTATGGACGGCAGTCCATATAGTGACGAAGCGCACCAGGAGAGTGCGCGAAGGCGACTACTATTATATAGCCGCAAAATTGAAAATCTGCTGTGATAGTCCGATCGTAATGAGTAATACACCAATCGAAAGGTATTGCAAAAACTTAGGATTGCATACCAAGACCTCAAGAAAATCAATTGGTTTGGGAGAGAGAGAGGTGAAAGTGGAAAAGTGAAAATTTCGAATTTGGGAGCTGATGGGGCCGGTGGGGATAAAAGCCCCCTCGCAATGTTTTAGTTGTGTTCCTATTGAAAATACCCGTCGAATGAGGGGTCATATGATAAAATCCGACGCTCCGTTCAAAAGTTATAGCCAAAATAAGATTTTCTTCTTCTTCCCAAAATGAAAATTTAATTTTGTTTGTCAGTTTGTCCACTTGTCCACTTGTCCAAAATATGTTTTTAAGTTCTGAAAATTTGATATGACGTTCATCACATCGATATAAAAAACTTTTGTTCTACCACTTTTGGAAAAAACCCGCTAGTTTAGCGGGAAAACAGCTATAAATAGCTAAAATTCGGAAAGCCGTAACTTCTATACTACTAAAGCTACAGACTTGTGCTGCATCTCGTTTGAAAGGTATTTATGCTATAAACGCCTTCTATATGCAATTTGTGTAAATGTAATAGTTAAAAAGATATGAACAAAAGAAAATTTGTTTAAACTTTTTTTAGCTTTTTTTAATTTTCTCAAAAACGGCTCTAACGATTTTCCTTACAACTTTAAACTGTATAGCCCTTGAGATTCCTTAAATTTTGGTATATATCATGTTTATGTAAAAAATCGCGTTTAAAAGTTATTCAGAAACGAAAATAGCCACTTTTGCCAGCTCAGAACAACTAACGCTTCCTGAGTGTTTAATTTTGTGCGTGGGTATCCAAACTGTATTTTAGGCTCATAGAATCATTTCAATTGTTTTAAGGAGTTCCAAATAGGAAACTTTTGTTTTACGACTTTTGGAAACACCCGCTGCTTTAGCGGAAAAAAAGCTAGAAATAGCTAAATTTCGTTAGTTTGTAAGTTCTACACTACTGAAGCTACAGACATGTGCTATACCTCGTTTAAAAGGTATTTTGAAATACTTAAACGCCCTTTTAACTTAATTTGTTTAAATACAATGGCTTTCAAATTATGATTGACCAATTTTAATTTAAATGTATATACTAGCTCCTATGAGAGCAAATATAAACAAACAAAAACTTCTGATATCAAATAAAAACACCTCTTAACGAGGTAAAAAACTAGTGACGATCGCACCTTCAACATACAAAAGTTCTGATATCAACATTTGTGACGAAAAATTATTACACTCGTCATTAAATACACTTTCTAAGATTTTCTCATTCGGCACGCCCTAGCATACTATTTTAGCCTTTTTACCTTCATAGGCATTTTCTATTGCAGCGTGCCGAATGAGAAAATCTTAGAAAGTGTATTTTGTATTATAGCATTTAAAAATACCTTTCAAACGAGATGCAGCACAAGTCTGTAGCTTTAGTAGTATAGAAGTTACGGCTTTCCGAATTTTAGCTATTTATAGCTGTTTTCCCGCTAAACTAGCGGGTTTTTCCAAAAGTGGTAGAACAAAAGTTTTTTATATCGATGTGATGAACGTCATATCAAATTTTCAGAACTTAAAAAACATATTTTGGACAAGTGGACAAGTGGACAAACTGACAAACTGACAAACAGAATTAAATTTTCATTTTGGGAAGAAGAAGAAAATCTTAATTTGGCTATAACTTTTGAACGGAGCGTCGGATTTTATCATATGACCCCTCATTCGACGGGTATTTTCAATAGGAACACAACTAGAACATTGCGAGGGGGCTTTTATCCCCACCGGCCCCATCAGCTCCCAAATTCGAAATTTTCACTTTTCCACTTTCACCTCTCTCTCTCCCAAACCAATTGATTTTCTTGAGGTCTTGGTATGCAATCCTAAGTTTTTGCAATACCTTTCGATTGGTGTATTACTCATTACGATCGGACTATCACAACAGATTTTCAATTTTGCGGCTATATAATAGTAGTCGCCTTCGCACACTCTCCTGGTGCGCTTCGTCACTA